TGTTAGGGAAGGACCAGACTAGGCAAAAAAAAAAAAACAGAAAAAAAAATGAAAAGTAAAAACAAAAAAAAAAGAAGGTTAGGCCGGGCCAAACCAGGCAACATTGGCCTTAGCTTGGCTCTCAGACCACAGTTTGTGGCCCAGGTTCTACCTTGTAGGGTCGGGCCGATCAGCCTGGCTAGGCCGCTTGGCCCATTGCCAGCCCTATCGGAAAGTATCTTGAAATAACCGAATTACGGTAGGTTATATTCTTAAAAAAAAGGTGTAGTTTTTAGGAGTTTGACGGGTTTTTCTGCACATGATAGCTTATTGGAATCTGACATGATTACGCATTCTTAAAATAAAAAAAGGGCAATTTATCAAACTGAAATTATTGATCTGCTTACCCATATATCTTTATCTAATTTCAAATGGTTAATTATTCTTGTGATCAAATTTTAAATAGTTATCAAATGCCACATCAAAAATGAATTTACCAAAGAGAAGTTTATCAAATTATATAAAAGAGATCAACTATTTAGTATTTTACCTATATCGTTTGATATAATTTCAAAATACCGATTAAAGTAGATATGATATTGACATGGATTGATTAAATAACGGTATACTATTAAATTGTTGAAAAGTTGGACATATTTTGATAAATTTTTTATTATCAAATTATACTTACCAGATTGTTAAATAGTTCAACTATATGGTGTATTTGATAAATTTATCATTAAAAAAGGAACTTGTCAGCACGTACAACAGATTGGATTGGGATTGTTTAATAGGAAAAGAAAAAAACATGGACAAAAGTGAAAAGATTTATATAAATTTACAGAATTATTTGTATCAATTGATTAGGCATAAATTTATGCCATTTAATCATGTATTGACTATTTCATACATCTATAACTCCCATTATATTAAGCCTTTTATATCAACTATCATATTCTATTCTTGAATAAACTCACTCCATTTATTTCTATTGTACCCGGTTCGGATCTGAAACTTGAATTTTGGATTCTATTCAGATCCAAGTATGGATTTGAAACTCAAATTTGGATCCGAATTACTATTCGGATCAAATCTAGGTATAGGTGGATCCAATCCGGATCCGGTCCATTTATTTAAATAGAAAATATATATATATATATATATATATATAGGAAAAGTTGAGATTAGCCCACTAGCTCATATAAACATATGAGCCCAACAGCTCAAATTGAATCTGGGTCGATCTGACGGTCACGACTTCATCTAGTGTTTGAGTTTTAATATTTTTTATCAATCCAAATAACTTGAAATTTTAGGTGTCCATTCTTCTCATCAAGGCACACAGGGAA